AATGATTTCAAAATATAAATTGAATTATGTCTCTGTGCTGCGAAGAACCCTTTTTAATGCTTTCCTTGGTTTTAGGATGAAATCCAGAAGCCTTCATGTAGCCTCTAATGTCCTACATGATCTGGCCCCGTCTGCCTCAGCAACCTCACCCCTCTTCCTTGCCATTCTCACAGTGGTTCTCGTTTGCCCTCCAACAGTATGCATACCTACCTTCTTTTAGTTCCTGAAAGTTCCTTCCTGCCTCTGAGTCTTTGCACATGCTTTTCCCTCTTCTCCCTATTGCTTGCTAACTTATATTCTTCAGGAATTGATAAAAATATTGCTTGCTCAGGGAAACCTTTCCTAACCATCCTCCACTTCTGGACTTGATTGGGTCCTTCTGTTGTTTTTTAATAGTCCCTTTTACTTCTGCTTTTATGACATGGATCATACTTATTCTTAATTATTTGCATGTCTCTTTCCTGAGAGAATATAAATACTACCAGGGCAAGGAACTTGTACCCTGTCAAAGCACCAGTCAAGCACAGTGCCTAGGGTAAATAGCACTCAGATGTTAATGACCAAGTGCATCTAATGACCTGAATTGCTGAGATGCAACTGAGAATGGACAAAACCTGAATCTGGTGGCAGCATATTTGAACTGAAATAAAATTTAAAACTGTTACCACAATATTTGATTTTAAAATGGTATTAACCAGACTAAACAAAGTTAATGAAACTGTAGTAAACAGAATAGTAGAGACTAGTTTTTATATCAACTGCTCAATAGATTTTTTTTCCAGGTAATTTAGTTTAAAGTCCCATGTATTCTTCACAGTCAAGCTATTATCATGGGCACAATCCAGGTTTATAGCCTCAGAAAAATCTCATTTACGTTCAAAAAATAGCTAGTTTTTGGTATGAGCATGTTGGATCTGAGTTGTGGATGTTCAAAGTGTTGAACTGATGAAGCATGTATTCTAGAAATAGCCTAGATACATTTAAAGTCCTGAAGTTCGTTATGGCTGGGAATGGAGGTCTCTATTTCAAGCCAGATATTTTAGACACAAGCCCTTGACCATGGTAAAGTGCTAAATCAAATGCTTGGCAGGCCTTAGCACCCCTATTTTGACTATGAACAGGCCTACATGCTCTCCCATCTTCAGCCAAAATGACTACTGTAATTTTCCATTTTGAGCATGTTTGCCTGTATATAAGAGGGAAAGTGAGGTGGAGGGGGAGTAAGTTTCAAATAGTTCTTAGATTTCATAATGCAGTATAGACATAGACCAGACATAAACTCCTTTATCTACTGTTGAGGTCAAATTGTTGAAGAACTTCTCCAGCAATGACCTACTTCAAGCTGCACATTTGTCCTCTTGATAGATAACAGGAAAGATATGGCAACTAGTGGTTTGTATGGCAGAGCTAGTTGCCATCGTTTATTGAATGCCTGTATTATCTATTGCTGTGTAACAACTTACCCAAAGCTTAGCAGGTTAAAACAACAAACATTTATTATCTTACAGTTTCTGTGAGTCAGGAATCTGGGAGCAGCTTAGCTGGGTGTCTCTGGCTCAGTCTCTCATGAAGTTAGTCAAGCTGTCAGCTGGGATGGCTGTCTCGTCTGAAGCCTCAATTGGGGGAAGCTGAACTTCTAAGCCCACTCACCTGGTTGTTAACAGGATTCAGTTCCTTGTGACTTGGGCCTCTCCATAGAGTAGCTGACAGCATGGCAGCCATTCTGATTCATGATCCTTCTTATGTAACCAGGCATTTCCCCCATCTCTGGAAGCTTTGGGGATATTTTCTTTGTCCCTACACACTAGAATTTCTTGATGATATCCCTTGATATGGATGGAATCAAGTGAAATAATGAACGTGAAAGGTCAAAATAGGATGGTTAGAGAAACACTGTGCTCTTAGAGGGCAGCCATGGTGGATGTGAACTGGAGAGGAGCTGGGAACAGAAAGAGACTGTTACATGAAATTCTGGAACCGGGAGTCAGGGAGGTTACTGGCAATGGTCCTATTTTTACCTGATGTCTTCCCCAAGTTGGAAGGCATTCCCCAAATGCCTTACGTAGGAGTTACCAGTCTCTAGCAAAATCTCCCCATTCCCACTCTGCCACTGCCGTCGAGGGGAACATTAAGCACCAGTTCACTGTTACCCAGTAGGCCTGCAGACTAGCGTTGTTCTTAAACTAACCCAGGAACTCAGGTTGCTTAACTCCGGAGTCTGATACCTTCTTTGGTCTTCCTATATAGCACTATCTGGATATTTTTTTTTTAGAGTGAAGGTGGACTTATGTACCTTAAGTCAGAGCATAGGTATGAAAGTATTTTACAAATTGTTAAGCACTATACAAATAAAGTTGTTCAATTGCTGCTCTTTAGAGAAACCAAATTTTCCAATTGTGTGGAAAACACAGGCTGAATGGCATAAAATACAAATCTGTACTGTATAGCCTACTGTGAGAGAACCACTTTCCTAGTATCTCAGTGTTTTCAACTCTTCTAACGTGTTTGCATTAAATTGGGTAACATCCTCATGTTGAGATTATAGTAAGTTTCTCTTCTCTTTCTCATGAACGGCTGCATCCTGCAATTTGCTTCTCTGTGCTCCGCCTTGCTCTTGAATTATTTTCTTTCTTCCTCTGCCTTCCCTTTTTCCTTATGGTCATGTGCACTTAGGGTTTATTTTTTGGGCAAAGGCAGATGTTTTTGAAAACTGAACTCTGATTCTCTGTGGATGATTTCCATATTGATGGGGTGAAATCACTGTGCTGGTTGTAAACAACTGCCAAATGAGTCTTTAGAAATATAAAACTGTATGACCTACTACCCAGCAAGGATCAGGACCTTTAAGAGTCTCTGTGCTTAGAAATACCCTACTTAGGTATGCAGTTGCCCTGGCATGTAGAGCAGACTTGCTTCTGTCATTGCTAATGCTGCAAATGGAAGTGGTGAAAATAAAGAACTGGTTCCCTCCCTTCTATAGCCTTATGGAATTATTATTATGGAGCAGTATTTGGAATAATCATTGATTTCTTTTGTCTCTATCTAAAATGTTAAACTGATATATTTCATACTAGGTGCCCTATTTAAGCCAACAGTGAATTAAATGGATTCTGTCTTAAATTCTTTTTGAACTATCAGTGAGTTGTTTTTCCATCTGTTCCTTACTCTTCACAATTCCACCTTGTCTTTTAAGAAGATTAGATTTTCTGATGTCCATAGCAGGTTAGAAAATTGCAAAAACTTTAAAGGGGAGTAAGCAATAATTTTTTAGTGTATCCAGAAGCAGGGAAAGACTTTTTCCTGGATGTTGCCAAGATAGAAATGAGTGAGGAAATTATTTGTTAAAAAAACTTAAAGATACCCCAAGGACAATGGGGGAGGGGGTGGAGTTGAGATTGAAGGGAGTCAGGATAGAAAGGGAAAGTTGCCTAAGCACAATGATCCACAGGTATTTATTGAGTTCCTAGTATTGAGGTGTAAACCTCCATTTTACTGTTTAGGAGTTGCGAATCTAATTGGAAAGAGGAAAATTATGCATATGAAACATAACAATTAAGTATTATTAACCCCAGGCTCACTAGCGACAAGATCGTAGAGGAAGGAAGAGATGAGTAAAGACTGCAGTGGTTTTTGAAGAATGGGTGAGATTTAAATAAAGAACAGAAAAAAAACACCTTCCAGATGTGGGTGAACACACCAAAATGGATTTGGAAGCCAAAGTATAAACAATTAAAAAAAATGTACATACTTTAAAAAGCCATAGAAAGACAGACAGACACATAAGCTGTAGACAAAAATTAAGGCCAGCAAAAACTACCACCAAAGATGTTAAGCAAACAAAATATTTTTTATTTATAAATTATTTTATGAAAAATAAAACTTATGACAAATATAATAAAAGTTTTTATAGAAAAACTGTTTTAAGGAAAAGATATATACCCTGATAGAAAAGTAGGCAAAAGTACTTGAGCAGAAAAATTACTTTAGCTAAAAGTGACAAAATAAGGAATATAAATGGCCCGTACGTATATCTCAAAATATTCAGCCTCAGTAAATAGCAAAGAAATGAAAATGTAAATAATAAATTGCAAGTTTTCTCTTAGGAAATTGGTAGTGGTTTCAAAAATAATAATACTCATGAATGCAGAGGAACAAGCGCTTACTACTGGTAAGAATTTAAATTCTTATGGCAATGTGGCAATAAATCAAGAGTCTTAAAAAAACAAACATACTTTCCAATATAGCAGTTGTATTTCTAGGAGTTATCATTTGGAAATCATTAGAAAGGTGAACAAAAGAAGTTCATCCAACCTTCATAATACAGGAACGTTGGAAACACCCCAAAACACAGTATGGCTATATTAACCTAGAAATGAGAAAAAGCAAATGATGGAGCATCATGCTATTCCTGTAAGAGTGGATACTTGGGGAATGTGTGTGTGTATCTGCATACACATGGGGGAAGTCAGGAAGGTTATATGCACCACATTGTTAATTGTTTTTAATGTTGGATGGTTGGACAACTGGTGACCTTAATTTTCTTTTTGCTTATCAATACAATGAACATATACCATTTTTTGAAATGTGTTTTAAGCAAAAACAGAGCTTGAGAATCAGAATAAGGGGCAGTTGCTTAGAGTGTTTATTAAGAATGCACTTTCTCTACCCATTTAACTGTTAAGGAAGGCTTGTGAGCTCCATTAGGTTCTAGAACCTACAGAAATTTGGCTTGAAAAGATTCCCTGCCCCCCACTTGCCTAGAAAGGCTAACTGAGCCTAGACATTTTTTTCTTTTAACTTTTAAAGAATTATACATCTGTATAGTTGATAACTGCAGGATATGGTTAGCTATATAACAGTTACAGACTAGCAGTTTCTGTTCATCTATAGTTAATAACTTTAACTTAAAACTTCAGAAGCTTCTGGAAGAATATAGATGTTATAAGTTTTCACTTCCTTGATCCTTGTATCATTTTTTCCTTTCTCTTGCTCCTGTTTAGGTTCTGTCATGATGAATGGATCCAGTGTGGCAAATACATCACCCAGTGTAAAATCCAAAGAGGACCAGGGGTTGGATGGGCATGATGAGAAGGAAAACCCATTTGCAGAGTACATGTGGATGGAGAATGAAGAGGATTTCAACAGACAGGTAAAGAAAGAAGTGGAAGCCTACTGATATGTGTAACTCAACAGCTCTCCTATTTTACTGTCAGTCTGTTACAAAAGACATGGGTTCTTTGGCTTTAGAATAACTTAAAAATACATGGACGCCTGGTCTCGGCCGACCAAGAAGCATCTTCAGCTGGTAAGAGACCAGAGGGACAGTACTTGGGAGGAAGATACTGGTATTTTTCTACCACATTGATTAAAAGAGGATCTAATACCATGTGATCTGGTGTAGACTTCTGGGAAACAGCAGCTGTAAGCAGACAGGCCAGCCTGGCATGCCCCAAATGGGAACTCAGGGACTGGCAGAATGTGAGTCTGAGACAGAGAAGTGTGTTAGGTGTGGGAAGGTTAGACTACTTCAGCAAAGATTCAGCAGTAATTCATTGTCTTATATCGCTGCGATGTTAACAGCCCCAAGGTAAGCATTCCAGGTAGACAGGTGATTCTGTGACCACAGGATCCCTTCCATAGTGTTGCTCTGCCACCCCCAGGGCATTTATCAGCTGAGTAGCTGAAGGATAACTGGAAGTCTAGCCACTGGCAAAGGGAGAGAACTGAAAGCCAAAGCAAGGGATCTCCTTTTAACCAAATGATGCCAAAATACTCACATCACTTATGGGGATGTTATGTGATGAATAGTTATACAGCCATATCCAGCATGGGAGATGCGAAATGTGGGGTATTTTTTTGTTTTTGTCTTTTTTTGAGGAAGATTAGCCCTGAGCGAACATCTGCTACCAATCCTCCTCTTTTTGCTGAGGAAGACTGGCCCTGAGCTAACATCAGAGCCCATCTTCCTCTATTTTGTATGTGGGATGCCTGCCACAGCATGGCTTGGTAAGTGGTGTGTAGGTCCGTACCGGGATCCAAACAGGTGAACCTTGGGCTGCCAAAGCATAATGTGTGAACTTAACTGCTGTGCCTCCAGGCTGGCCCCCAAATTGTGGTTTTTAACTGAACAGCCTGGTGTTCTGGGAAGAAGGGAACAAGTTTAATGGGGGCAGCCAGCAGTTTCCACCCCAAGTGGGCACACTGTGTCATGATTTATGTGAATAGGACGTAGACCCTGCTTCCTGTCACAAGCCTGTGCCCTGGTCACGTTTTCATGGATTGTGCCTGTGAGTAAGGGTAGATTTCATAAGGGGGAGCACACTGTTATGCTCTTGAGGAGAGTCAGGGCAGATCGTGAGCATTCGTGTTAAATCTTGTGGCTTGGAAATATTTTGTGGTTATTATAAGAGCTTCATGACTATCTAATATATTTGAGATCAGAAACAGTGTGGCTGATTGTAACATTGAAATGCTGTTTTTAAGTCTTGCTACCTGTGACTTTTCCTTTGAGTTTATGAGATTAACTGTATTGGCTAGTTTGGGTGATTATTTCTGCTTGACCTCCCCTCTCATGGTGGCACTAGTGAGCTGCGAATCTGTCACCAGGCAGCCTGCAGGAAAGGGATGGTCAAATGTGAAGCAGGAGGCCTGTTAAAATTACACGCAATCTGTGGAGTGACCCATGCTCTTTACTGGAGTTGACAATGTCAGCAAAGAGGTGTAAAATATCCTATATATATATATGTCTTTAGTTTAGGGTAATCTTTATGAAATAGGGAATTGTTTAAATATTCCTATTATTTCTGCTTGTTTTGAAAGAATACTGCATTGATGACATCATTTTTTGTTGACATGCCAAAAAGTGTTTTTTATATCTTTCTAAGATTCTGGAAGTATTTTTCTCCCTTAGAGGCCTCATTACCAGAAAAGTGGGCCAGAAGCTGAGAGTTGGTTTTGATTTAATCTCCACTATCTGGGTAGTGGTCTAGTTACATGGTTCCTGTACCTTTTCCATACTTGTAAAATGGGAAATTTAAGAAATGTTGCTCTTAACAAGATTGAGAAAAGAATTTCACGCTTTAAAATGATTTTCTGTAAGTGCCACATGAATGGAAAATTTCTGTGTTACATGTTAGAGATCTTAAAAGATCTGTAAAGACCTGGAATTTCTGCTATTTTGAATACCTATTTCCTCAGTGTTATTGTTGATGGAATTTGGTAGAAAAAATTAAAAATTATATTTTTCTCTAGTCAGTTATCAGAAGCTTCTTAATTCTTAGTAGATCTCATACAAGGTCATTCTTAATTGCAGAATAGTAAACTTTGAAAGAGAGGGATGGAGAAAAAACTGGAAGGGGTGAGTCCCACTGGGACAGTAAGTCAGAGCTCCTCACCTTTGCTTGCTAGGTGGAGGAGGAGCTGCAGGAGCAAGACTTTTTGGACCGTTGCTTCCAGGAGATGCTGGATGAAGAAGACCAAGACTGGTTTATTCCATCACGAGATCTGCCTCAGGCCATGGGACAGTTGCAACAACAGTTAAATGGACTGTCGGTTGGCGATGGTCACGATTCTGAAGATATTTTGGTAAGAGCCATATGTAGTTCCACATGTGACATAGGGAGAAGAATATAGGATTTGGAGTCACAGACTCTTTTGCTGGCCCTGCAACCTTGGGCAAGTCTCTGGAGCCCTCTGAGCTGCCGTTTCTTCACTCATCACATGGGCATTATAAGAGGGTGCATTGAAGATACATTGCATCTCATAAAGCACTGTGAAAACACTGTTGCAGCATTACCAACTTTCGTTTTCCCCAGTGGGCTCTTCAAAGTAGAGTTGGGATTAAGGATGAAAAATTCAACATGGAAGAGGTTTGGTTTCAAATTGTCTTTTGCTGCTGTCCTTTCTTTTACTATCCCTCAAATCTGTATTTATAGTTTTGAATGATGCTGTTATAAAAATTTCCTGCTCATTTTAGAAGGAAAATACTCTTAAGAGGCCATTTTCCACTTAGAAGAATGGATAAATGAATTCCCTGCCTTCCATGTTTACTTAATGTCAGAATTCTGTGAGTGAGATAATTCTCACACAGCTGGTGTTCTGAATGATTGTGCCCTGCAGTTTACCAAGATTTTGCGTATTCACAAGAGTAGATAAGCAAAGAGAGTACAGCAAGATGAAAAAATAGCAACTGTAGTAACTGGCTTGATGGACTACTTTGATTCTCATTGATTTAAGGTACTCAGTGAATTGAAAAATTATCTTTGGAGTCAAACTTACAAGCCTCTAATGAAAACGTCATGAAGGGAACAGGAGTCTAAAGCAGGAAGGAGAAGATGAGATTGGTCGGGGCTTAGTATGTCAGGAGCCGTTGCAAGCAGCCCAGCAAAAACAGCCTGAGTTGCAAGAAATTCTCTTTTTTTCTCTCCTTGAGGCTGAGAGGAAGGTACTGGTAATAATGGAAGCAGGGAGAAAATAAGTTTTAAAATGCAGGTTTCCTTGGGATTTATTATCTCTTGATTCTTATTTCAGAGCAAAAGTAACCTGAACCCGGATGCCAAGGAATTTATTCCAGGAGTGAAGTACTGAGCTGACAGAAAGCTTTGAGGAGGACTTGTGTGTCCCCACATCTGGGGACAGCGCTGCACAAACATGCGGAGCTGAAGAGGGGGGTGGGGCGGGCGGGGTGCACAGCGGGGAGGGGAACAGTGGTTTAACTTGACACTGTGACTGGAGTAACTAATGTGCTCAGTCTTTCTCTGCAAGCCTCTGAGTGTTTCCCTTTTGTTCTACTGACTTTCACTTGGAGGAGTTTTCTATTATTATTACTAGATTTTTGAGTTAAGGAAATTGTAATCTTTTTTTTCCCCTCCATCAGGAATGTTCTGCTGTGTGTGTTTAAACAAAATAAGCTGACCAAGAAAATCTGGGTGTTTAAGAATGCCCTTCTCACCCTGCTGTATACTTACCAAGGGCAGTGAACACCTGGAGAACTACTTATCAAGTCTGTTAAGCTGCACGGCAAGAGGGACAAGTGGAAGTAGCAGGCGTTACAAACCAGAGTACACCGCTCAGCTCCCCAGACCCTTGGGGTTTCCTGCCATGACCTGGGATTATCAATGGCCTGTGAGCCCATGTCTCCCTGCCCTGAACCGTAACACAGACTTAACATACTGGTTCTCAGTAGCTCTTTTGGTGGTTGGTGAAAGTTGTAAATCAGAAGGGGAGGACTGTGGTGGTGATTGTCACTTGAATCATTCAGTTACTGTTGGCCTACTCTTAAGCCTCTGTTTACAGCTACCCTCAAACTCGTCCTTTACAAGGTAAAAGAGCACTAAGGTGGATTTGCCACTTTGCCCCTCGTGGTGTCTGGTCCCTTGTGTCCTTTCCACTCCAACCTTACTCTCTTTTTAAGAAAAGATATTGTTACCAAAGGTATATGAGAGGCAAGCTGTGTTGGCCATCAGCTTCAGGCTGGGGAAGTCATCCTTGAATCCTGTTAGTTATATCTTAAGTTTGTTTTGACAGTTTTTTCCCAGCCCCATGAAGACTTTGTCCTCTTGGTATCTTACTTCCCTTAGAAAGGTTTATACACTTTTACAAGTAAATATATTTTTCAGGACACTAGCAAGAAGCTACAGTCACTGTGTGGATGCTTCTCCCCACCTTACAGAATTATGCAGAACAACTCAAAATAAGCCCAGGAGAGTGAGTCCTGCTTGAACCAGCTGACTGTGTAACCCGCCAGAATGGTTTCAGCAATTACAAAGTTTTGCCATTCCCACACACCCAGCTTTGCAAGTTTTCTAGGTGGGGCTCTCTGGGTATGTTCCTTTTATCTTTTCTGCCTATAAGTCACATGAGTTTTTGTTGATACTCACGAGGAACTAAAGTGGGCACCAGGAGCTGCCTTTGTGTGACAGTGATGTAGGTGGCAAAGTCAGGTCTAAAAGAGAGCGTGTCTGTCCAGTCCTGGCATTCTCCCAGGACAAGGACTTGCAGAGGCCTGAGGAGGACAGTGGCTTCTGTGTGACTGCCACTGTGTTGTGTGATAGGCCTAACAGGAAAAGATCATGTAACTTGAAATAAAGTCTGTGCAAATTCAGTATGTGGATGTGGGACAGAGGTTGGAAGGAGAGGACTAGGGTCTGGAAAGCTTAAGAATTTCTCCTTTTTCTTATGAGCTCCCTTGTTGACCTTTTAACAGCCACAGGCTAATGTCTGATTTCAAATATGAACCCACATCTTTTCCTCATTTTATAGGATGGCATCGTTTGGAAAATGACCTTCCTTGTTAGGTCACATATCATAGGAGAGTAGCTTAGGGAGCTGGTATTGCCAGATGTGCACATTAGTTCCCAAAGCCTCTACCTCAAGAGAATGGAACTCTTTAACTCATTTTCAGGAAGGGCTGTGAATAAAGAAACTTTATTCCAGCTTCAGCTTTCAGATGGGGTTGTTTCCTCTAAGGAGAGGGCCTTGGAAGTGCAGAAATAGAGGTCTCGCTCTTCTGGGGCTGCTTTTCCTCCTTCAGTCTCCATTAGCTTGTCCAAGCTCGGAATTCTAAAGGCTGTTAGAAATGCATTGGGATTGCAGAAAAAGCCTTTTCTAGACCGTAGGTGTCTCCATCACCAACAGTACAATGGAGTCTTGTGTGGCTCCTGGTCTGGAGAGTCCTACAGGGGTCCAGATCGAGCTGTTTCTTCATCTGAAGAAGGCTTGCTCTTCTGACACCGGGATAGGCTAAGATGTCAGGTGCAGTCCAAAGGGTTTGACTTCCCATCTGCTGAGGGCTTCCGTCTTAGATGTCAGTCTTCAGTATTGTTTCACAGGCATGTTTGGTCAGGACTAAGCTTCCTGCCAGACGAGCAGTGGAACCTAGAGGCTGGACTTTCCAGTCCTATTCAGACACACAGTGTGCTGACTCTGGGATCAGGAATCAGCTAGCAATGTGACCCCGTTTTTAATGCGTAGGCTTGTGCTTCCAGTGGTTCCTCTTGTAGCCCAACTCTTTTCTCCATCTATTTTATGTTGTGAGGTGGGAGCCCAGTTGTCACCCAGATCACAGGCTCAGCTTTAGTTGGAGTTTGCCAACTCCTTAGCAGAAAATGCATGTGGATCTTGTTGGACTTTTCACTGGGGAAAGTCTGGGAGCCTCTGTCTCAGACTTTTTCTCCCAGGAGAGGTTCTGGGCGCAAGCCCAGCTGGACACCTTTGCCCTTTAAGGGTGAGGCTGGTATTTGTAAGTGATCATTTGATGTTGAGTTTAAGCCACTACCCTGTTGAAACTTTTTTATTGGCAAGTTGAAATTTGAGAATTTGTGTAGAAGCAGAATATGTATTTTTAATAATTGCCAATTCTGGCTGGTCCCAGTGTTAGTTTATTAATGATTGATTTCTGATTTTTGTGATTATTGGACTCTAAAACTCCAAGATGAAAACCATTTTCTCTCTTCCACTTCAAGGGGGAAGAAAGAAATAAAGGCAATGCCTTTTCAGTTTCTCCCGGCCTTTAACTGCAGAGAACTGGATGGATTTAGCCCAGGCCTGAGCACCTGCAGCTTTGGGGCCATGGGCCAGTTTCTGACTGCAGCACTTGACTTGTGGGGAACATATAAGGCCAAACCAAAAAAGATCATAAGGAAAAGGCTGGACCTTTGCAGCACCTGTAGTTTCCAAAGTCAGAACAGCTGGGGTCTCTTTAGATAAGGCTATAATGCCAACTACGGCTTAAAAGATGTTCTTAGTGAAACACCAAGCAGTGTTTCTAAAATCATGTGTTACTATAATGTCAAAGTTCTGTGTTGATTTTGGAGAGGCTGGGAAGTAAGGAGGTCACTTGAACACTCTGGGAATTAATATATGTCAGACAGGAAAGATGTGTGAAGGAGTAGTCAAAGGACACAGTTTGACTGAAATTTCTTGCATTAGGGCTGCTGAAAACCCCATGTCGAAACATCATGGGGAATCTACCCTGCTGTGATTGGAAGAGGCAAGTATTCTAGAAGGACCCCAGCATGACGGGTTACTAATGTTTCTTGGTTTGGTGATGTTACAGTATGGGAACAGGCAGAGACCTGGCAGATTTGACCATGATTTGGAGATGTGCACCTATTGGGTAAGACTGTATATCCCCAGCCACTCTCTGGGATAATGCAGACCTCATTGGTTTGGGAAGTGGGTGGAGAGAACAGGAGGATTGATCTGGTCTGGTGTGCTTTGGGAGCCTTGCCTCAGCCCACAGTTCCCGGTGTAAATCATGGCCATCCTCATTGCCCACAGGGATCATTAGTTCTCCTGGCTCCACCCTGTAAAGTATGCAGAGTACTTCCTGTGGCCACTGCTCTACTGCCTTGTAAATTTCATCCACAGACTTTGTTAGTTACAACTTTGAGAGAGTCCCCCTCCCACCCCCGCTTTGTTTTTAATCTTCTGTCTTTATTGCTCCCATCTGGAAGCTGCAATTGGTGACAAAGGATAGGGGAGTAGGAGGCAGACCGAACAAGATACTCAAGTCTCCTTCTTGCTACTTGGCCTTCAGCCCTTACCACCCAACCTCCTACTGCTGTCCCCAGTCAGTCTAGTTTTGAGGGGGGGGTCATACCAATAGGACAGCTGAGTACTATACACTGATCTCTAGGGTGTCAGCTAAGAGATTCACCACCCTACCCCTAGGGGACAGAAGAGAAATCTGCTAAGGGACAGATGCACCATCTTTACTCTAAAAGAAAAAGCCCCCTTAGATTTGTCATTAATAGGAGTCTCCTTTGTGAGATTTTCTGAGATTTCTTTCCCAGTCCTACCTTCTTACTGGCTACCTTTTATTTTAAAATAATGAAGAAACATTCTAGCTATTTGCTGTAAAATAGGACAGTGTTTTCACTCTGTAACTCAACACTAAGTGATAATCCTGCCCCATTGATTGTGAACCTTCAGAAATGTTTAATGCTTGATGGGTGGTTTGGGAGGCAAGGACTTTTTTTTTTTAACCAACTTTATTTAGGCATATTTTACGTATCATAAAATTCACTCATTTCAAATGTACAATTGAGTGATTTTAGTAACTTTCCTGAGTAGTGCAGCCATAACCATACTCAGTTTTAGAACATTTTCATCCCCCTGCAATAAGATCCTTCATGCCCATTTACAGGATAATCTCTGTTCCCAGCTCTAAGCAACCACTAATCTTCTGTCCCTATAAATTTGCCTTTTCATATCAATGGAATCGTATAAAGTGTGGTATCTTGATTCTGGCTTTTTTGACGTAACATATTTTTTCAGGTTCATCCATGACATATAAGGTGTGTTGGTAATTTGTTCCTTTTTATTGCCGAATAATATCCCATTGATAGATAATACATTTTGTCAGCAGGGAGTCTTTTAAACTTGGATTTCAACCTCCTGTGGTCTGAAAGGAACCCTCAGAACATAGAACTCACAGGGGAAGCTACTGTGCATGTCAAAGGAACTACTTATCAGAACCAGCTTTGTCATCAGAAGCTCCACATGAGGAGATTGAACTGCTGCAGAAATTTTTATGATAATCTTGCAACTTTTTTATAAGGAACTTTTGTGCTGTCTACATATCAGGACTTTTGAAGCATCTGATAATTTAATAAGTACGAGCATGTGTTTGACCAGAAAGTGAAACCATCAATACTATTTTGGATATTGTTTCCTCCTCGACTGGATGGGGGATCTCTGAGCTTTCCAAGTACAGTATTGTCTTCGTTACAAAGCTGAACATGTATTAAGGATCATGCTGCTTTTGTCGGACTGATTCGAAGGGAAGGAGGACAGCCAGCAGAGGAGGTCAAGAGGAGAAAGGGAGTAGAGTTTGTGGAACAAGAAGCCCCCAGGGGGGGTCTGTGCATGGCCCACCCATCTGTTGGTGTGGACGGTGAAGTGCTGATGGTGTCCTGGGGCAGCCCAGGTCTTGACTTTGTACCTTTATCCATTTTGCAAGTGTTTAGAAGCTGGTTTTGTTCCTTACGTTTTTTTCCCTAAATAAACATTACATGGTAGTTATTTAATACTTCTTTGGGGGAGGGGCAGGGCTTTAAAATTGAAGAAAATTTTCATAAAAATATCAAAAATGGAAAAAAGTTACTTTTTTAAAAATTTGCTATACAAACCAAATGGCAGCTGTTGAAAAATCTCAATAAAATGAGAATAAAATGCATTTGATGGCAGTGGTACCCTTTTTCCTGAGAGTGAGTCATTATATACCATACTACAGGGGGTGAATGTGTGTATATACAGGGTGGTATGTGTATGTTTGTGAGAGGTTTTTCGTCTCAAGATGGATTATAGTTTTAGTTGCATAATTTTCCATTCTAAATAGTGTTACAAAATAGTATAAAAGCATTGGCTTGGAAGTCACAGAGCTGGGTGAATCGCGCCTCCACCACTTTGTGCCAGTGGCCTGAAGGTCGCTTTATTTGTAAAGGTGCGACAACTCCCTCCTGGGGCTCTTGTGAAAATTAGACCAAATTTAATTTCAAAATACTGCCTGGCACATAATAGGCATTTAATACATGGTGGCAATAATGTGTACAGCTTTGAACAAAGAGGTGGTAACAGGAAATCCTTGGGCTTGAGGGGAAATTGGATAGCTGTTATTTTCCTGTTTCTGGGCAAAACTGACTCCTATCTAGAAAACAAAAGGCTTCTCTATCTACCCTTCAACGACTGCACAAGTTTGAGAGCCTGCTAGGTACCAGGCAGTGTCCTAGGTACCAGGGCTACTGGGTTAACAGGCAGACGTCGTCCCTGCTGTTTGGAGATTAGTTTGGTAATTCGTATTTACTTAGTTTACACCTAGCTTGAACCTCCCAGTGATTCTCTGAGGGGCTTTATCATATGGTAAAAAGATTGTTGGACCAGACCATAGCCCATGGGTTTTGCTTTGAGTGCTCTCATTTCTTTGCCTCCTTCCTAAAACCAGAAAAAAAAAATCTGAGCTGACTTGCCTATTTATAGCTTTTTGAGATACTAGTGATGTATATACAGGGCCTGAACTATTCACATCCTTGAAGAGGTGAATGCTGTATTCATTTTATAGATTTCATTAAACTTAATTGAAGTACGTTACAGAAAAGCTCAGATATTGTAAGGCTGCAGTTCTATAAATCTTCACCAACTTTCAGTTGGTATAAAGTGTAAGGGTATACTCATTTTCAATCCTTAGAGCACCTATCACAGCTAGAAGACATGCAGTGAGTATGCTGAATGAATGGTACAGATGATGCTGTGCTGTTCATGAGGTCACACAAGCCTCATTTGAGTCCAATTCTTGTTCCAAGCTCTCTTGCCTTGTCACAAGGCTGTTAACAGGCACAGATGAGATGAATATACCTATCTCCAATGTCTTGGGAATACAGAATCCCATTAATTGCTCCTGATATCTTATTAGGGACAGAGATGAGTTTAAAGGGGGAGAAGCATCAAAAATCACTTAGGATTTTCTGCACGGCAACCTCTGATAGTCTTACTAACTGGAGAATAAGCTACCTCATCACATCCCCTTTGGCTAAAGGAACTAGGAAGACATCTGACTTTAACATTAGCTTCATTTTCTCGGCTAACATTTATTCAACACTTATGTGCTGGGACTGAAAAATCAATCGAGATGTGCTCCTTGCTCTGCTCTAAAACCTCCATTGTCCAAACTGGAATAGTAGAATCTAGACAGTGATAAAGAAGAGTGATGGCTGTATCCTGAACATAAGGAGGTCTCTATCTACAAACTCTTCACTAAGATGAGTTTTAGATTCTAAATCCAAAATTCTGCTAAATCTTGGTCCTGAGATCATGTAAAAATACTTCTAAGCTCACTGCTCATTAGTGTTAAGACTACGACATAGAGCAAAGGCACCTCCTCTGTGTCCTTGTCTCTTTACAACCTTTTCACCAGATGACGTGTTGGAGACTTGCTGAGAGTTGGGCCCCAGTGGTTTGGACCCAAGCTAGATGTGACTATGGCTAGCTGTCCCTTCAAAAGGGACGTGGCTTGAGTTGTTATTGCTGAAAGCTCCAGCTTGCGGTGTTGGGCTAGAGGTGATGAGATGAGAGTGGCTGCCTTTCTGTTCCACACTGTGAAATAACAGTGTCATCTGACTTAGGAAACAAGTATCCATGACCCCTTTGGGGCCTACTCAGAACTCAAAAGCTGTCAAGTAGAGCTCCCTCAAGTGCAGATCCTGGACCTCTGCAGCAGAAATTACCCAAGGTATTTAGTAGAAATGAACATTCCCCATCTCATCCTTGACCAGTTGAATCAGACACCTTAGGAAGGGGGAGAAGACAGAAATCTGAGTTTAAAACCAGCTCTAGAATAACTGATGCACGTAAGTTTGAGAACTGATGTCCAGGACATGGCCCACGCCTTCTAACGGCTCACACTCTCAACACTGTAGAGGCAGCCACTGTGGATCAAGACTATGCCTTAGGGGCCAGCCCGGTGGCGCAGCGGTTAAGAGCGCCCATTCCGCTTCAGCGGCCCGGGGTTCACTAGTTTGGATCCTGGGTGCGGACATGGCACCGCTTGGCAAGTCATGCCGTGGTAGGTGTCCCACATATAAAGTAGAGGAAGATGGGCATGGATGTTAGCTCAGGGCCAGTATTCCTCAGCAAAAAGAGGGAGATTGGCAGCAGTTAGCTCAGGGCTAATCTTCCTGGGAAAAAAAAAAAGATTGTGCCTTATAGACTTCACCAAGCAGCATGAGCAGCTGAACAGAAAGCTTTGGACTTGTCTTTACCCATCAAACCACAGTATCCAGAGGAACCATGTCTGCTCTTCACAGATGTTCATCATGCCTGGTGCCACACAACAAACATGAAGTGTCAAACACTAAGCAGAGACAGGCTAGGAGTTGCTAGGAACAGGTAGGCCACCTACTTGTCTGGTTGCCCTTCTTAGATCTTGGCCATCTTCATAACCTCTCGAGAACTCATTCAAGTGGAAAAACTGCAAAATGTGCCTTTTTACCTCTAAGTACCATATCCAGTGAGGTAAAAATTCTCCCAGACTAAAACTGTCCCCTGTCCCCTAAATCCTCATGGGACTATCAGGAGACTGTGGTATGTCTAAGGTTACTCTCGGTGATGTTTTGCATGAAGAACATTTAGTTTCACTGAAAATGGTCAGGCAGGGATCACTACCCACTTTGATAGGAGAAAACTGAGATCACAGGTTAAGTGGCAGCCACATAGCATATAAGTACGCTAATGTGGGGCAGGGGTGGCACACAGATAAATTATCTGCCCAACTGCATGGTGGACAGATTCCAGACCACGGGCCAAGCACCTAGGGGTGGGGCTTTAAACCTTGGGCTAAAACCATTCCTGAGCCCTCTGGGATATGGGCTGGCAGGTGCACCGAGGATGTACACAGCAAGTGTGCTTGATAACACAATCCAATTGGGAGTGGGTAAAGTGCGTTTATTTTCTTCTATAGGTGTTTCTCTTTTTTAAAAAAAGGAAAAGAAGAAAAAGCTTCCTCCCTTCCAGCACCCAATGTCCACTGGGCTTGGAGGGGGTGGAGCCTGGGCCAGCCCCCTAGGAGAAGGTGTAGGAGTAGAAGGCAACGGCATTGACGCTGTAGTCCATGGGAAGGAGGTGCCCGATGTGCCTGGCCCCTAGGCTGGCCCCGCCCAGGGCGGAGGAGTGCCGCAGCTTCATCAGGGTGAAGCTAGAGAAGGAGCTCTGGGCCTGGATCTCTCTGCCCTGGGTCATCGCCAAAAGGAAACCTGGAGAAAAAGGACAGGGGTGAGAGGAGACCAGCAGCTTCTGGTGGAGACCAGGGAGGAGGAGAGGACAAAGAGGGAGGGAAAGCAGCAGCCCAGGCCCGGAGGCATTCCTGTGGAGTCCCAGAGGGGCCCACGTGCCGAGTCCCTAACAGATGGTGCACCAGGGTCTGTGAGCCCAGTAACGGCTGTGGGCTACTGGAGCCAGCAGCTGCCAAGCAGCTGATGCCAGGAACTCCAAGGTAGCAACAGGGGTCCTCAAGCTACTTCAGAAAGTCTAATGGAAATCACACAGCCACCTGAAACAAGGCTGCAAGGGTGAATGAAGAAGGCACGTTTCATTCTCTCTGGCTAGGATCATGCTGACTGGGGATGTCACCACATGCTGGTCAGAGCTCTGATTTTAAGTCAGATTCATCTTTAAAGTGGGGCTCATTTAATAAATCCTTTGGAAAAGAACATCTTTTTAAGAGTTCAAGGAAGCTGGACGGGACATTGTAAAAGGCTCCCTGGCAGAGTGAAAGTTGAGGTCCTTGGCCTGAAGCATCAACAGCCTGTCCAGGCCTCAGGGCCCAGGTCCTCCCTGGGGCAAGCAGCTTTCCTGGGCCACCTCCTTTCCAGCCCCATCCCTTGCCGTTGCCTGCTCCCTCCTGCCCCTACCCCGTACTCACCTTCCTTCAGCAGCTCCCAACTCTTCCACACAGAGCCCACACACAGGATGGGGAGGCCGATCTCCCCTTGGAACAAGACCTGGCGGAGAGCGGAAATGGATATTGGGGGCGACAAAGCCTCTCCAGTGCTAAAGGGGGTAGTTTCTTAAGGTCAGCCCACCCTATCTCAGTTACTCTCCCTCTAGCCAAGAACCAGAAAGTGGACTCAAGAAAAAAAGGGAGGAAAACGGGGAGATTCATAAAGGCAAGGGAGAGAAGGGAAAAGAAAAGGGTTAAACAACAATACAGAGGAAGGAAAGAAGCAGGGGAAACAGAAGCATGACTGACGAAAAGGGGACCGTGCATGTACCACATTAAACCAATTTACTACATATAAATAAAGATTACAGACCAACCAGAGGGGAGGCACTGGATCAAAGAACTTTTTTTGTTACAGACTTTCTACAGAATTTTTCTCACACCCTAAGTTCATTTAAAATCATATTCAATTTACAAAGTTTGATGGGACAGTCCCATCCCTAATGAGAAAAGGCCAAATCCGGCCCAGCAGCTCCCAGTCTCCAGTTCCCACCTCAACTCACCGGGTCAATCTCAGGCAACACTGCCACAACGTGCCTGCCCAGCATCTCCCCAGCCTTCCTGAAGATATAACGGGAAAGGGGATCTCCCTGCTGGGCACCTGTGGGAGGAGAAGGGAAGGGAGTGGTGAATACCTGGAAGCCGCCAGTCCTGAGTTATTCTCTCTCTCTGTTGCAGGGCAGCAATGGGGGGACCACCTATCACTAACAGACGTCTAAGTCAGGAATGGATGCCCACCTCGTGGCATGTGGGTAAGCAAGCCTCCAAAGCTGCCTCTCCGTCCTCACTGCCCCTGCCCTCACCAGGCACTTCCAGCCTAGGAGGGGTGTCCTGTACAGAGGTGGCTCATTCCAGGCGCCCGAGAAGGGCAGCCCCACCAGAGCACACTGGCACCTGCTTTGTATTCCAGCTTACGCTCAGTTATTGAGTCTGTCCCTGAAGGTCTCTCAGCTCTGGGCACCCAGGACTCCACTCGAGCAGGTGGCTGGTGCTCCTGCCGGGGCCCCCACCCACTTCCAACAGTCTGCTGTTGGTCAGCCCCTTCCCAGCTCTGCTCTGAAAGGGTCTCAGTCCAGCAGGATCTAAGAGGGGCCTACAATGCCCTGAGGCTGCAAGAATCCAAATTAAGGGAGTATGGACCATAAAGTGGAGAAAGAGTAATGTACAAGCCCTATGGTTCAGCTTCTCCTGACACCCAACCAAATCTGCCTAACCTCTCCATGATCTCCTAGTTCTTTACATATCATTGGTTTAAAAAAAAGAAAAAGTTATAGATTTGCCCAAAGGGCAACTACTTTATAAATTTCTCAGAAACAGACATACAGCCTGCACAGGCCATGATAGCTGTCAACATAGGTTATATAAAACAACTGTCAACATAACCCACATGTCCTTCAGCCTCCAACTAAGGCCCATGGTGGCAGAGAACTGAGGTCACTTGGTCAAAGGGAAATTGCCAGTCCCCATCTGAACCCTACTCCACCCCCTAATTAGGGAAGTCTGGGGAACAAAGCCAAATAAAACCCTGCCCAGCCTCCAGTACCTTCTGCAATTTTCCGGCAAAACCCAGCAAACCTGCATTTATCAAAATCCCTATACAGGTGAGTGAGGATTCCTAGCCGATCTGGCACCTGAGAGACAGAGAAATGACACAAGATAAGTCATTAGAAGCGAAGGAAAATTCCCAATCTGCTCACCCAAGTTGGTCTTCCTGATGTCTCTACTGTTAGAAAAGCTAGAATAATGTTGTTTTATTTTTAAAGCCATACTTATTTAGTTTGCTTAATATAAATTTTTCATACATTGATCACTTGACCTTATAAAAAAATGTATTCCTTCTTTTCTTGAGGAAAATTAATTAATAAAAGAATACTTATGGGGGCTGGCCCAGTGGCATAGCGGTTAAGTTCACATGCTCTGCTTTGGCGGCCTGGGATTTGGCTGGTTCAGATCCTAGGCCTGGACCGAGCCCCACTTATCAAGCCATGATGTGGCAGCATCCCACATACAAAGTAGAGGAAGATGGGCACAGATGTTAGCTCAGGGGCAATCATCCTGAGCAAAAAGAGGAGGATTGGCAGCAGATGTTAGCTCAGGGCCAATCTACCTCAGAAAAAAAAATAATAATACTTATGTATTAGGGAAAACAAAAAATGAGATGTTCTAATTTTTTTATTAAATCAGATATTATCCATCTCTACCTGATAAAAATTAATTCTTTTGAAGCTCATGTGTCTTTGATAGGATTCCTAGAGAAGTTACAGCTGACAACTGATAGCATAGTGGCAATCACTTAAAAGAGATGATAACTACATATATGGCTTTCTGTTCAGAAATGATACTGTCTCCTTAGGGTTTCTTTCTTTTTTTTGTCAAATGCGGTAACATTGGTTTGTTGATTTTATTTATTTATTTATTTATTTATTTAGCTGAGGAAGATTCGCCCCGAGCTAAGCTAACATCTGTTGCCAATCTTCCTCTATTTTCTATGTGAGCCGCTGCCACAGCATGGCCACTGACAGATGAGCGGTGTAGGTCCACACCCAGGAATTGAACCCGGGCCGCCAAGTGGAGCGCACCAAACTTAACCACTAGACCCCTGGGGCTGGCCCATGTTTGTTTTTTTAAGCTCTAGAGAGTACAAGGATTTTAGCTTTCTCATTTGAGGAAAGTTCTGTTTCCCCAACATGGACTCCACTGCTTCTTACAGACTAGCCTGGAGCAGCAGAGCACAGGTCTGTGCTCACCAAAGTGTGTTCTATAGTTCCTTGAGGTGCTCTTGAAAAGACTTTTTCGGTTAAAGGAATCTAAGGACCTTTTCCCTTAGAGTCACAATGCACATTAGCAAATTAAAGGCTCTGAGAAGTCCTGACCCAAGAAATCTATTTGTTTCTCCCCAACTTATTTGACCAAAGAAGGTCCTTCTTCCACTCCAACAAACTTACACAGCCATAACGCCTCTGAAGGTCCTGAGGAACCAGTGATTGCCCAGCACACACTATTAAAATGGAGAAGGGAGGGCTAAAGTTTGAGCCCCTACAGCAATGTATTAACCATATTATACACACTATCTCATTTAACCCATGCAATGACTTTACAAGAACAACTAAAGGATAAAAAGAGGGAGCAGTAGACATATTAGTAGGGTTTAGAACCAATCTGCTGAGTCAGGATAGAGTTAAGCTATCAGCTATAGGAAGTGATTTCTCTTCCTGGTCCCTCCCTATTCCTCACCTTGGCCCAGGCCAGAGCTCCTCTTTAATCATCAATCCCTGAGCTATGAGAACACAGGTCCTACTTCCCAGCATCTCTAATCTCCTTCCCTGGTCCAGGCCCCAGCTCACCTACATGGCTGTCACTCAGAGATGTCTATCAAATAAACTTATCTTCCTTCTCCTCTCCCACCTTTGACCTCTGGTCCAGCTAACAGCCGCTGTTTCCTAACCCACTACAAATGAGCATGGCCCAGGCAAGGACAGTCAATCTCCAATGCCCTGGGTAGGAGGCTGTCCCTCCCCAAGAACTCTCCCTGCCCACCTCTTTAACGAGTTCTCCTCTCTGACCCATACAGGCCAGAAGCAGCCTACTGTCCAACACGTGCTCAGACTGTACCTGCTGTCTCTGTCTCTGTGTGCACTGTCTCATGATTTCACCCTGCACCTCTCATTCCAGCCTAAAACGGTATCTGCCTTCACCTCCCAGCAGCGTCTAGCTGCCCAAGAATGAAGTCTTATCCCCAGCCTACCCTTTCCTCATGCCTGACACCCTCCTGGAACGCACTGCCCACATCACTGTGAATCCTGTCCTCACCTACGACTTCTCCATCCTACAACTCAGATCCACAATTCACCCCAACTTCCCTTTCACTCACCCAGTGCCTCCCCTGCATTCACTCCTGCTCAGCTCCCACTGCCCTATCCCAGGTGTGAGTGTTTACCAGGGGCAGAGGGAGTACCTGGAAATAGCTGAACATGGCCTGTTTGACGTAGCCAATGTCATGAGGAGCCGCCTCTAGGTTGTCGATGGAGTCAAACACAATTTTCACTGCTTGGTGTGCAATCCAGTAGGCTGCAGAGAGCAGAAGGCTAAGATGGGGCAAACTCCCCGAGCTCACAGGGAAGGAAACCCCGACCTAGACAGTGTTAGTGACCACCTTGGGTATTACAGCAAATTAGGTGTCCCAATTCCTAGCCTGGGGGCTCTAATTAAACTGTATCTGATTGATCAGCAGAAGGGAAAGCTGGAGGGGGAAGACAGAACAGGTGAGGCTGTGTCACACCAGTTCCTACCCAAAAATAAAACAAGGTCAGTCTGGTGTCACTCAAACCACTGGAGTCACTGCCATGAGTTGGACCCCAAGGGCCCCTATGAAAATGTACACCTGCTTCCGATGAAGAGGTGATGGTGAGTGGAGTTTCTATACCCTTTCTCACTAGCAGACTGGTACGGCATCTCCTGGCATCTGAGGCCTTGTCCTGCATAGTGTCAACTCCTCCCTAAGGACTCCAAAAGTCAACACAGGTAGGCAATATCTATTATGCTGAGGCATGAATCTGGATCCTGGGTACAAATCACTGCTGAAGAGTAAGACCAGCCACTAGTTCAGCATTCACATCTCTATGATAGTCACTATTCTTTACTCAGAACCATCAGTTCAGAAGCTGTCCCCAGAGAGTCCCAAGGGGTCAACTGGCCGATGGTAGGGGAGAGGAAGATGGGGAGACGCAGGAAGGGAAGAGTCCAGGACCCTGAGGGAGGCCCTGCTGGCATGAGCTCACCTGAGCCCTCGTCCCCCATCATGTGGCCCCAGCCACCGCAGCCACTCTCAGAGCCATCAGGGTTGATGAGCCTGCAATTGGAGCCTGTCCCAGAGATGAGCACGATCCCACCTGGAAAAAGGGCACAGGAGGCTCAGTGTGGCCAAGGCCTTGCACAAAGCACAGCTTCCGAATGAGGAAAGACGGAACAGAAACCAGCCCCAGGCAAAGGGATCTCCACCCAGTTTTGTAGAAACCGAGCCCAACTAGTTTCCTGCCTGAAGGTGGAGGGCCTGGGTCTCATAGAAACTCCAATCACAAAGAGCCCTTCGCTGGGGGACAAAGAGGAACCTGAGTCTGTCTCCTTGCCCAGCCAGCCTTCAAGTGACTACCTGCTTTATTTGGTACTACTATGTGCCAGGGACCACCCCGTCCACACAGTGATACTCACTCAATAACCCTAAGCCACCTTATGAATACACTTGCCCCCATTTTGTAGATGAGGAAACAAACTCAGAGTTCCATAACTTCTCTGAGATGGGACAGCTGGCAAAATAGGAGCTGAGATTCAAATGCCCATTCCATGATACCAACGCTGTTCACGCTCCCATCACAGAGCTGCTCCCATTTTCTTCTCAGCACTTACTGCTTTCACCAGCCAGCCGCATCTCAACACTGCACTGCCCCAGGGGCGCCCTGCTCTGGAACGGAGTCGTGTTTGACTCCACTCCTTGCTTCCCATCAAGATACCCTTCCTGCCCCCTCCTGTCCAGTCCTTGCTCTGACAGGGACTTAAGCTAATGAAAAGAACTGGGGGGAGTATGGAGCCCACCTTCCAGATCTTTGCAAAGCAAGTTCTGCCAGCTACATCTAAGGGGTTTTCCCAGTAACACCACTTCTCAACCTCACCCATCCCTCCACCTCCTCACCATCCGGCGTAGCTGTGGCGATGGAGCCGGCGGCGTCGGTGGTGATTAAGTAGCTTTCACTCAGGTAGGGAAATCGGTCCCTCAGCTCCTCGATCAGGATCCTCACCGCGTCCTCCTGCTCCCCACCGCTCAGGGATAGGCCCTAGGCCACGCGGGAGGTGAGCGAGCGAGCGAGCAGGGCCCCAGACCCAGCTCCTTTCTCAACCCCCTCCCCTCCTGATGCCTGCCCCCTGCTCTTTACATCTGGGCATATCCTGCTCATGTAGCCCCAGTCCTCCTTCCACCCCACACAGTGACCCATGAGAAGGATGTGGCTGCAAGAACCTGGACCAGGAATGGACGGAGAGAGGAGATTCAATAATGCCATGTATCGAGCTTGGGAGGACAGGAGTGCCCTTAACAGCAAAATCAGGCAGGAGAGCAAGTTGCAGCAAGATAAGTTGAGGCAAGATAAACTCCATGGAATACACACTGGGCCTGCAGAACATCTCACTGAGGGTATGTCCAGGGACTAGCCAGAGCTACAGCAACTTGGGAGAAAGGTCTGAGCTAGGAATAACGGCTAACGTTTAATTTTGATTAATTAATTAATTAAATTTTAACAAGTGCTTATAGATCAGGCTCTACGCTAACCACCTTGGGATGTATCATGTCATTTTACTTTCCCAACAATTCTGAGATAGCTAGTTATCTGCATTTTCCAAATGAAGAAACTGAGGCTCAGAGAAGGTACGTAACCTGCTTAGGGTCACACAGCTGTTGAAATGACAAAATTGGGATGCAAACCAAGCACTCAGTGGCTCTCCAAAACTCTGTGCTCTTCCAATCCTTGTGGCTTGTAGGCGACAACTGAAGCCACAAGAATGAATAAGATCATGTGAGTTTCTAGACCAGAGACTAAGCCCTCAAAGCCTTTCCCTCTGCAAGTCACTCACTCATCTAGTTCAAACCCGCTGTCTCAGCATCACTGTGACTTAATTCTCAGGCTCTACCCCAGACTCACCAAGCTTCGTAGAGGTACCAGAGGATCCACCCCTGCTTTCCGTTTGGCCCTGTTCACCATCTCGTTGATCCTCTCCACACACTTGTCTGTCCCGATCAGCTGGCCCCAATCAAGGGAAGGAGGAGTTACGAAGGCTTGCATGACCTACAGGCTGCTGTACGAGCCCCCAGCCACCACCTTAACAGGAGTTACAGAGAACAAAACCACAACCAAGCCCGCTCATCCCTTCAGTGTGGCCTTTACCCAGTGGTTTGTGCTGAGTCCATCCACTTCTGCCAGGATCTGCCCATCTTCTGAGAGTAAAAGGACCTTGGACCGTGTGCCTCCCCTACAGAACACAAGGGGGCACTCAGTCTTGCTCAGAAAAACCTGCAGGTTCAGCTAAGCTTGTGTAGTACTTGTCACAGACAGAGTCCAGGGCAATGGTGACCGCTTTAGCAAACCCAATCACCATTCCCAAATCCACCTCTGTGGTTTGGTGTCTGCTGTGTTCTTGGACTGAAACATAGTTCCTGCTCAGCTTCCCTTGGGGATGTCCTACTTATCCTGCAAGACCCTACTTATATATCACCTAATCCTTGAAACCCCTGAAGTGTGGCCCTCCCCACCTGGCTCCATTAGTTAAGCCATGTCAGTGTCCCCATAACTCTCAAAAATTCCTCTGTATCCAGTGTGATTAGTAGTTTTCTTGCCTGCTTCCTGCTAGACTACAAGCTCCATTAGGTTAGGCTCTAGATCGTTTATCTAGTCTCACGCCTAGCACAGGGCCTGGCAGAGGCAGTACTCAGTAAATGTGACTAAAGAGAATGGCACATCTCTCTGCTTCTCTCACAATAGCTAAAGGCTGCCTTTCAAGACTCAGCACCAGCTGCAAGGTCTTCAAGACACCCTTGTGAGAAATCCTGACCAGATGGCAGGGAGAGTTTATACCTACTTAAGCAACTAAATGGTCAAATGCTTATTACTGAGGGAAGTGGGAGTTTGGAGGGAGGTCTGCGGGGGAGTGATGTATGTTTCGTTATTCATCAGTACTTTTAGGACTATCGGAAGAGGACAGTGAAGACCTGCTGACCGAACTCAAAGACGACAAGAAGTTTCAAGGGACAGTTAATGCACGAGGTGGCAGACTGAACGTCCAAAAGAATCTCTTGACAAACTGAAAAAGTGGGTCACATCTTACAAAGGCATATAACAAGGATCAATGCAAACTCCTGTACTTAGTCTCTTTTAAAAAGTGCAATAGATTAAGGATGGGGGAGATTAACCTTAATGATGCATGTGAAAAAAAGACCTTGGGGTCTCTGAGTCAACAGCGAGATGTGGCTGCCAAAGAAGTGATCCAATCTCAGATTCAAAAGGAAGTGCCCTGGCTGAGACAACAACCACCCCCTGTTATGCCCTGATTTGACACACCCCGATTCACAGAACGTTGTCACCGTCAGGGGATCTGGCGATCATCTCCTTCATCACTCTCCCTATACATATGGGGTAACTGAAGCCCAGACAGGGCAAAAGTCTTGCCCATATTCAAATCGAGGGGCAAGAGCTATTACGAAAAGCCCAGTAGAGAAGCTTCTGAGCAGGAAAAACGCAAGAATAACAGACGGTTGGATCTATCGTGAGGAGCCTGGAGTGCCGACAACAATGGAGAGGTTTCAGGCATCAGGATAGGCCAGCACTCTGGCTCGGAGTTGCTCCAGCTCCCAGATACCCTCCGGCAAAGATCTTTGTCACAGCTGCCACCACACTCCCACTCCTCACCCCCCAGACCAGCAACTTTACACCTGACACCTGTTCTGCAAAACTCTCTGCGGGGTCGGGAACGGGTAAAAGGAACTTCTCCAGCGGGGGTCGTTGAAGCAGGTCTTTCGTGGGAGAAAGGGGCGTGGTTCCGCCGTGAAACACAAAGGACCCCCCCGGGGTGTGGTCGTGGTACACGCAGTCCCTGCAAGGCACATGCCCGCGCGCTGAAGGGCATCGCCGCGCGTGCACACACCCCTCGTCCGCAAGGCCACGCAGCCCAAAAGCACAAAGTGGCCAGACCCTGATGCGGGGGACCACCAGCCTGCGGGCCGGGCCACAGCCTTCCCTCGGTCCCGCCCCCGGACCTACTGTGGCCCAGGCCGCTTGCAGGCCGCCCACCCGGACTCCCTCTGCCCGGCCGCACTCACCCCTCCACACCCCCGTAGAGAGCGGCCATGCTACCGCTCCAGCCGCCGCCGCCGCTCCCGCCGTCGCTCCCGCCGTTTGCTTCCCTCCGGCCGGCGCTTCCCTCCCTCCCTCCCGCCCGCTCGGCACCGCCCCGCGTCACGTGAAGGCCAGCGCGGTCCAGCTGACTTCGAGGACGCGTGCGCGGGGCGTGGCGCCGCGAACCACAGGCTGGCCCCGCCCCGGCAAGTCCTCGGGCTGAGCGAGTGCGGGCCTCAGCGGCGCCTTCGGACCCGGCCAGCCCTTCCCCACCCCCGGGACCCTACTTCCGGAGATGGACACCAGAGCCCAAACGGAGGAGCCAGAAAGGGGTGTCCGTGTGGGACCCGCTGGACACGTCACCGCCCTGCCCATTCTTCACCACCCGGAAGTTGCTGGCAGCCCAGCCTGGCGCATGCGCACTGCTGTGAGCCACGTAGGCTGTCCGTGACGCACACAGTGACGCACGCAGGGCAAGACCCCCTACCGGGTGGCGGGGTGGGCTCAGGGGAGCGGCGCAAGCAAGTCTCGGGGTCGTTAGGCCTACCCTTAAGCTGTGAACCCTAATGTTCAATCCAACACCTGCCCGGCGGTGGCGGGAGTTGCACGTGCACACACAAACACCGACGCAGGCTTCCCTCTGTACTCGTGTGACCGTGTACCCGGGAGTAACTAGAGGCTGCCTGGGGAAGGGCGAAAGCCTTCCAGGCTGTCCTGGCAGCCCAGCTTGTACCACCGGCCCGTTGCAGCTCCTCGTTGCAGGGTGTTTGCGGGGCATAGACTACCCGGCAAACTAGCAGATACGGTTTTACAAGCCGGTTGTTGCCCTCCAGCCACCACCCCGCTCCCCTTCCTTACAACAGGGTCGGAAAAAGGAAAGGGAGCGCGAAGCGGGAAAACACTGGCCAGGTCTGGGAGTCGAGCTGGGGCTCCTGCGGGCGTCCGCGGGCTCTTCCGGGCGTGTCTGGGCCCGCGAGGGGCAGCTTCGCGGGCCAGGAGGCGGTCAGCTGCCCTTGGCATCTCTTCGGGAACATCAGCCTGGGGACAAGTCGTTCGCAGGGCAGTCCTCAAGCTGGCCTGTCCCCCGTTCCCATCCCCATGCCCCCTGCTTGCCTGCCTTCTTCTTATAGGGAAATCCTGCGCTAGGAGCTTCTTTCCCTGACTGGTTATGCTTCGGTATGAACATTTGGCGTATGTGTGCTTTTGAAACTAGAAGAGAGGAGTCTTTACCTTATTTCTTACCCATTTGGGACGCTGAAACACTACAATGTAACCTGTAAGAGTAATTAAAAAGTGAATCACTACGTGATAGTGAATCAGAGAGAGGGATAGGCTTTTTTTTATCCTCCCGTCAACCTACAAAAACAGAAGCAGTTTAAGAGGCAAAGCGTTGATTTGGGATCAAAGAATCTCAGTTCCAAGAGCACAGATTCAGGTAGAAACCCAAATAGTGTCCCGATTACAGGAGAGGGGGCTTAGGGTTTTTACGGGGAAAAGGAAGGATGAGGTGAGTTGTATTAAAGAAGAGTTCAGTGGTGCTAGATGAGGTCAGGCTAGTTTTATGCCTCATAGACTGGTTTGAGGTTCGATCATCAGGCAAAAAGCTGGACTTGTGCTTCCTTTATTGGTTAGCGATCAGGACGTGAATAAATTCCAGTTCCACTAGTCTTCACAAACAGGATGTTTTTGTCCTTACTGGCTTCTTTGGAATGTTGGTTGTTTGGTCCAGTTTGGAAGTTAAAGAAAAGAAGACGTGCAAGGCAATTCCTCTGGAATAGCTGCCCCGGCCCTGTTTTAATATGGTTCCACTCCTGTCGTCTTTCACATTCACCTGTATCATTTACATCCATAACAATCAGAGCTGGAAGATGCTTAATCCAACAGACACATATTTTTACAATAATGGTGCTGATTCTAGTGAGATTAAACTCGGCAGAATTTTTGGAGGAGAGGAGATTTTTGGAAGCTTTTGAGAATGTGGCTTTTCATGTGCTAGTGCAAGGAGCCTTGGAACTTATATGTAAGATAAAATTCACGTTTCCCTTTGTATTGCTTGTTTAGAAAAGGGAGCACAAGAGAAAGTGCCCGGGTTTGAAGACAAGGATTGAGTTCACCATTTACTAGCTGATAATTTTGGATGAATTACACATAATTGCTACTGCTTTTGCTGATCCACAAAATGGAGATGATAAACAGCCACCTACTGAGGCTAACACGAGATTTAAATATTAAAAGAGTTCGGGAAACCATAAAGTACTACACAGATCATAACTAATTTTTATTCACATTACTTCTTAGCATGTGCTGTCCAACACAGTGACCACTAAGCGCTTGAAATGTGGCTAGTCCAAAATGAGATGTGCTGTAAGTGTAAAATACACCCAGGATTTCAAAGATGTAGTACCAAAACAGAATATAGAAATATCTCCAATAATTTTTATATAAATTACATATTGAAATGATGATATTTTGGAGATAGTGGGTTAAAACTACATATCATTAACATTGATTTTGCCAATCTGTTTTCATCTTGTTTAATGTAGCTCCTAGGAAATTTTAAATTACACATGTGGCTCATATTTGTGGCTCACGTATTTCTATTGTACAGTACTGTTCTATGTCTTGTCTCCTATTCATCCAGACCAGAATATTTCAAAGTCACTAAGTGTTTATGAATAAATAATGGCACATGATTGATTTAAAGAAGAAAACGTCATTGAATAAAAGATTAATACTACTACTATACATTTGTGTTGTATGTTATAGTTCTACAAAGCTCTTTTATGTATCTTTATCTTGTTTGGTCATTCTAACAACCCCATGAAAATATCAGAGATTTCTAACCACATATTATAAGTCAGGAAACTGAGGATCTGAAATCAAAGTAATGAGCCTAGGCTCGCACAAATGATAGATGTTGCTTGTTAGAGGTGTGGGCAGTTACTGTAATGGGAAAGAAAGAAAGATGTTACAGTGCAGACAAGTGTTAACCTCTGTCTGGTCTTGTGAAAGTGTATTGCGCCTTTGTGCTGGAATTGCAACATCCCAGCAGCTGCATGCTCAGAGGTTGGTAAAATCCTCTAAGAATCTGCAAGCAGCATTCTTGTTCTCTGTCTTCTCCACTTTGTCCCCAAGACTCCAGGGAGGCCGTACTTCCATGAGGGGTTAGGGAAGATAAAAAGGACAGTGGAAAAATATCTTCCCTTCCAAATCCACTTATGATTTTGGGCAGAGGACTTTGGGGCCTAAGGTCCTCAAGAGGTTTTGTTGACTTGGTTCATGAAAACACACCGCATCTGTTTTTACTCACCACTGTATTTCCAAGGCTAACCTCAGTCCCAGGCAGATCATAGGAGGTCCATAAATAGTTTTGAGAGGGCTTATAAATGATAAAGCACTGTATCACAAACATGAGAGGTAGTAAATGCTCCACTGTGAATTAAAGAAGAGAGCAAGCAGATTCTGTGGCAGAGACAATTTGCAGAAAAGATTGGATAGAGAAAGATGTTTGGAGAAAACAGAAGAGAAATTGTGAAATGGGGAAGCGGGAGTTGCGCAAGTGGTCAAGGGGCCTCAAAAGGATCTTGCCCTAATCTGTCCTGCATTGGGAAGTTATCAGTACGTGTGTGACCTCAGCCTTGTGCTTTAGGGTGATTAATCTTTCAGGTTCCTTATAGCAGAACAAATGGGAGGGAAGAGCCTGGAGGAGGGAGACATCCAGAAGGCTGGGGCCATAGCCCAGGCAGGAGATGGACAAGGAAGATATAATACCAAAACAGAATGTAAAACTATCTCCAATAATTTTTATATGAATTACATATTGAAATGATAATATTTTGGAGATAGTTAAAATTACATATTATTAAAATTAATTTTGCCAGTCTGTGATAACAGACAGGGCAGAGCAGAAGTCATGGGGAGGGATCCAAGTGGGGGGTCATGCTGACCTTCCCCTCTGTTGATGTGGGATGAAGGCCGAGACAGAGACTGGAGTTGGCTTTCCTACAATGAAAGAGAGAGTGTGAGGGGCTGCCTTACTAAGGGTGGGGGTGGGACTCAGACGCTGATAGCTATAAAGCAAGGGAAGGGCTCTTCCAGACCTGCAGGACCGCCAGGAACAACCCAGAAGGGGCAGGAGTGGCCGGGCGGGGAGCACGGAGGCCCCAGAGTGCAGAAGCAGTTGTAGGAGAATCACAGTAAACAGTCTGCCCTTCTAGTCTTCTTAGCCACCTGAGGGAGGGGAAGGAAAAGAGGCACGTTATCTGCCTTGATCAGATCTGGTTCTGAGAAGCGTGGGGCCTTAGGCCAGGGCAGCAAACCCAGAAAATCAGGTTGGTTTATTCCCTTTTCCTGAGCATGTGGGTGTCTATGTCTGCGTTTATATGCATGTTTTGGCTTGTATCAATCTGTCTGTAAATGTACACATGTTTATTTGTGTTTCTGTGTTATGAATACTCATACCAGGGCAATGTGAACTTGTCTTTGTATATGTTTCTAAGTGACTAATGTGTCTACATTGCATGTATTTGAGATATAAAAATTATGCATTTTTCTGTACTAGGATATGTACAGAATTAGAATTTCGATTCTTAAAGGAACCTAAGCAATCCTGCGTATCTAGGCACCTTTGAGCAGAGGCATAGATGTAGAAAGGTAACTTTGCAGCGTTGTGCTGGAGCTGGCTTGCCTAGCTCTCAAAGAGCTAATTGTGTATGTCTTTCTAACTTCCATTCGGTGATATCATGTTGGTGGCTCAAAATTGCCATGGTGTAAGTATTTACAACACGGAAATCAGCAACCGCTACAAATCAGGTGGTTGTTATTGTTTTCCAGAAAGCTACTGTTAACCATTTACCAGCACAGTGGATGGATGTTGTACGTGTGTGAAACATCCATGGTCTGTGTATATCAGTTTAGAAGTACATATATGAAAATGTGCGCCTGTGTAGCGGGTCCGATTTTTATAGACCACAAACTCAGGGGTGCAAAAATGCAATGATTTTCTTACAATCAAATTTGATTTCTGTCTCAATTCTCCACTCTTAATCTAATCACTTACAGGTGAATTCAGTCATTTCAGGTTTTAACTAAGACTGAAGAGTCATCCTCCTCTTAGCTCCTCTCGTTTG